GTTTCAGCCGCAACCCGGGATGTAAATCAGCACATTCAAAGTAATATGACGTGTTTTTGTTGTACCGCGTTAGCTAACACGGCTAGCCTAGCTAGCTGGGCTCATGCTCAGCTGTTAGCACACATGCGACTCACAAACGGCGTGTTTTGTTTTCTCTGCGCAGGATAAAGACAAAAAGAAAAAGGAGAGCATCTTCGACTTGTCCAAATACATCGATAAGCCGATTCGTGTAAAGTTTCAAGGAGGACGAGAAGGTAGGTGGATTAGCTATGATAACAAGCTAACAGTTAAGCAGCGCTGCGGGATTTGCTGTCCTTATTTCCAGCTAATGGAGACTTTACACCGTGTATTTGTTTGCTCCTCAGCCAGCGGTGTCCTGAAAGGATTTGACCCTCTGCTGAACCTGGTGCTGGACGGCACTATTGAATATATGCGCGGTAAGTGTGCGCTTTAAAGTCGAGACCGTGCAAGAGAAAAATGATTTACAGGAACAAAGAATGACACAAGACTGCGCCAGCGCTGAAGTGTTTCCTTTAACCTGAACCCAAATGAGTCATTTGCAACACTGAGGCAGTGCCAGACTAACCTGAGTGTCGCTGTGATCACATCTGCTGAAGGAGGACCCAGTAAAATAACGCTACTGGTGATGGTGAAAGTATTTAGATGTTATTTAATATACTGAGTGGAGCTGTGTGTTTCACCAAGCTTTGATCCTCAGCTCAGGGCCGACCAGCAGCCTCAGTGTGAGCTGTGACAGCTGTAGCCTTCACTCACACTGAGGAGTTTTTGTGCTACAGTCACGTCAGCGTGTGGGTGTAAGTGTGAGCCCAGCTGAGTTTAATTAAAGTTTTGTTGTTTTTGGGTTTTTTAACTTAAACTGAGCCTCATGTTCACTCAGCTCGTCTCCAGCAGGTGGGTGGAGCTCCTGCACCTGAGATATTAAGGATAAACCTTCTCAGCGACACCACAGTGAAGTTAGGGTTGAAAAAACTGAAACTGAGTAGCTCATAGGAGTTACTTGAACACTGGTGGGGCTTACTGTTAAAGCCATGTCTGTATTTAAGCTGATCGTGCAGCATCGACTGCTGTCGTAGATAATGTGACGCTTACTTGTGTGCTCCTGCTACTCCTGTGTTTAGATCCAGATGACCAGCTGAAGCTGACAGAAGACACCCGGCAGCTGGGGCTGGTGGTCTGCAGAGGAACCTCCGTAGTGCTGATCTGTCCTCAGGATGGCATGGAAGCCATACCGAACCCATTCATACAGCAGCAGGACGGCTAACGCACGAGCTCTCCCTGCTAACTTACACGTACTTGTACACACTTGAATATTTCGTTGTTTCTTTTCCTTAGTTTTTATTTCGTTTTAACAATAACGGTAATCATTAATGGAGCCAAGCCGATTTAGTTAAGCAGCAAAAAGACGTTTGAA